CTAGTCCACTGCTGGACATAGGCCTCTTCTTAGGAAAGAGGCTTTGGCCTATTATACCACGCGGGCCAGACGGGTTGGTATACGGTTTGTTATAAGTTTTCCTTCTCTTTTGCTGTGCTGTTGTTCTGCGTAGTTTGCTCCCTAAGTCGACTCTTACACACACTCTTGAGGTGGTAACACTGTATTCTTAATCCATCACCACACATTAACTACATAATTTTCGTAAAAACACTATCTGTTATTAGTGTTATTACATAGTGTATTTATTTCCCTTAAGTATTAACCAGTCTCAATACCTAAAAATAAGACCGTGTAAAATCATCGTAAGTTCGTCCCAACAATTTATAAGAAGCAACTAAGCAGCTTACTGTTGGCTTTGTCGTAATTAATTTCGACAAATTGCTTTTTAATATGATTTGATTCAATTTTCCTGCTTACGAACCATTTAATTTAGTAAGACATAACAGATTACTGTTAGAAATATAACTATTATATTATTAACCGTGTCTGGGTATCATTTATATATGATAATAATATGCATGTATTTAAGAATATATAAGAATAATAAATATACTGTCTGTCCTGCACAACTTTGTCTGAATCTTATGAGGTGGAGGCAGGAGGGTAAAAAATACTTTGCGATCTATTGTCATACCTACCAAATATACAAAAGGAAAAAATATAAAAATCGGTAGAGCCGTTTCGAAGAAATGCGACCGATAAACACCGTGACACGAAATATTTCTATAATAATTAGATTTATTAGCAGTCTGGTTACCATAGCGCAGGCTCTGCCTAGTCTGGGATCAGACAACCATTTCATTTTATTTTATTTATTCAATTTTGTGATACAATGGTTAAAATGACAATTTTATTGTGTACAAGCTATGTCCTGTCTATGTAAAGCATACAGTGTAAGATATGTCAGGTTGTTATCATATTAACTTGGAAGACTTGGTAATAACTTGGACTTGGTAATGGCGAAATTAATAATGATCATGTGGGAGAATAGAGTCAGCATCAATATACATGTAAAGAATACACTGGTTTATAGTTTTGTTGAATACATTGGGTTCAGGGTACCTCCTGTTGGTAACGTCGAGACAGGACGTTTCACTACCCGAAAATAGGCTCCTTCGGGTTTGAAACAAATATGTACTTTTAGATAACGCTTCAAAGTTTAAATTGCAATACGCTCTAATTCCATTAAATACGAGTATCACCATTGCTTTGTTTTATCACTAGCCTACATTTACGATACTCAAGATTTGAGCAGATAGTCTCAAAAGGTTTGGCGACGCGGCTCCCCATTTGGAATAAGTCCAGTGCTGCGAGTTAGAATTAACGGTGAATGGTGATGTACTTGATACATATTTGGATTTAGTGTTATATATTCTCACAGTTCTAACTCACCGCCAAGCATTAGATTTGCCAATGTTACTGTAAAAAATAAAGCCTCAGTGTGTTACCTAGAATTAGTTTTAGAAAGAAACTTTTCATTTATCGAACATATTAAAATAGTCAATGAAAAGTCTAAAAAGAGTTTCTGTGCATTGACAAGGATATCAACTGCGACATGGGGTCTATCATTTAATACATTAAAGATCATATACGGAGCTACTTATTTAGGTTCTATGTGCTATGGTGCACCTGTATGGGCCGATAGGGCGACCGTAGGCGCTGTCCGTCGCAAACTGTTACAAGGCCAACGACTTGCACTGATATTCTTGTGCAAGGCATATAGGACGGTTAGCACTGAGGCTTTGCCGGTGTTGGCGGGTGTGCTTCCGGTCGATCTCTCGGGCAGCCATGTACTATTCAAGACAACAAAACATGGAATGCGATTTTTTGGGCGCGCAGTAAAATTACAAGATTGCTTCAACAGCAGTCCGATGTCTATAATGACCTCATGGACGAATGGCAACAACGCTGGGATGAATCATCCAAGGGGCGCCATCTTTACCAATTCTTTCCATTTTTTCGCGAACGGTTGTCGAGGACATGGCTTGAGGTAGATCACTGTGTCGCTCAATTTCTTACGGGTCATGGTAACTAAGAGCAAGCTTTTTTCATTTAAATTAGTCGAGTCACCATTGTGTCAATGCTCAACACCTAACTCTCACTATGAACAGTCTGCTCATCATATCCTCTGGGAATGTAGTCTTTAGTATAATGAACGTAATATAATGCTGAATACCTTGCAGGTGACATCTGGGGCGGTGCGGTATACTATGGGGATCTTGTGTCAACTAGGGTGAATTTCCGTGCGTTTAGGCGATTCTGCCATACATATTATAGAAATCAAATATAGCTCACGTAGGACCCGTAATATTTTGTGGCCGTGGTGCTTCCCTGTTTAAAAGGGTGTATGCCCATTTTACTTCATTTTGTCTCCCGCTTTGCTTAGGAGGGAAGTGGATTTACTGTATTTAAAACTCCTTCGATTTTCTTCTGATTAATTTCGTTGCGGGTTCCAAGACAGTTTAATTTCTTCCTGGGACTTCCCGAGTGTCATAACTCGGTGTGATCGTGGGTTACTTCTGTGGATCCTGGTGTACAAGAGTTACAGTGGTGGGCGTGTGGGTGGGATTAGTCCCAATAAAAGTTCTAACTCGTCGTACGATCATTCTAAATGGAGGAACTGGATTTTAGGAAATTGGTGGTTGTGGATTGTATTACCTATATTATATTGTTTACAAAAACTTCTAACAAAAGTTTATGAGTTTCCGATTCCGTCTAGTCAAATAACAGGATTACCTAAAACTGTTAGTTTATGTGAATCTCATCTCATCTCAGGATTAATCTACATATACAAATTGACAACCTCTAGAGAATGTATACGGATTCTAAAAGTATTGTAAATGATGCTCACCTTATCGCCCAAGAAACTTCATAGAACTGTTTTTAATTTTTTTATACAAAACTAAATTACGAGTATATTTCAAAATCTCTGCTTATTAACCGCCCCTAACACATGGAACCCAAACAAAGTGGGTATCATATCATGGGTTCTTCCACTCGCAATGTTTTGTATATGTGTTCCCGTATTGCACACCCAATATCTATATTGATACAATGAGTACCTGTATTATACATTAACTAGTATCAAAGAATCAAAATAACCACATATTGTCGTTAAAGACATCAAATACCATGTGAGCAAGTCGCACTTACTGGCTTTAATTTATGTCATCAATTACACGAGATAAATATATCTTAGCCAAAATACCAGATGCGTGTACTAAACCTACATGTCTTACTTCCACGTGACGGCACAGAAATTTCAGACTCTTGTGTTACGTACAAAGAGATTAATCTTGTGTATTTTGAGCTTGTCTTAATATATTAAGGGTTTTAGAATATCCTAAGACGTATACGTTGGTTAAAATAACACATTTACTGTGTTCTATAATACTGATTCAAATTGCCGTCGCAGTTGGTTTGTTAAATTAAATTCATCATCATCAACGGCCTCTAATAGTCCTCTGCTGGACATAGGCATCTCCTTACCAAAGGAGGTTTAGGCCTACTATACCACGCTGGCCAGACGGGTTGATATAGGATTTGTTTCAAGTTTTCCTTCTCTTTGCAGTGCTGTTGTTCTACGTAGTCGGCTCCCTTAGTTGGCTCTTACGACACCCACGGGATTACTAGGGGTGGTGATACTCTGTATTCTTAATTAATCCGTCACCACACGGAAGAGATCTGCCTGGGAAAATTGATCTAATGGTACGTCAGCATCTTTATAATTGTCTGTTTAATACCCGATTTTTGTCAACTTCTCAAATTAATTCTGTGTGAACGTGGACATCTTTTCGGATCGGAACGTGGATCGGGATTAAAAAATTTCAATTTGACTTTAAATTAACTACTAACTAACTGTTCCAAATTTTTTAGATGAAACAAAATAAAAAGGTAAAATTTCAAAGTACTTTTTGTGTAGACTGACAATGATTACAAACAAATTCTAAAAAAAATACGTTAAATCTTCCTCACACGATACTATGTTTTGATACGTCTAGCTATATCTCGATATGTTGTTGTTATGTAAGTTAGGTTATGTTGTCGGTAAATCAATAACCTAACCTAACTTGCCTCACTTTAGATTAGGCATTTCATAAAGTAAGCGACATTAAATGCTAGCATAACATCTATCCTTGCAATCGAATAATTCGTATCAAATCAACTGTGAATATTCTTAATAGATTCTTTCTTTACAATGTTGAACAGAAAAATCTAGACACTCAATACATAGAAAATAACATAATTGTGTTGGTGAACGTGGCAAACAGATCACTTTTCTTATCAATATGATGAAAAGGGTATAACAATTATGTTAAGAGTATTATAAATTGTATTAGTTTTATTCATTAATAGTTACTACAATAAACAAAACTGCTACGTTTACCTACATCTATGAAAGAAATAATTGTTGTCCACATTAGGCCAGCTATAACTTCGAGTGTGTCCTTTTAATATATGACAGCAAAAAACGAATACGAAAAACGCACCAACTGAAAAAGGACATTTTAGAGATTTAAAGATTATCCTTGCGTCACATAAAGTTATAATACGGGGTCCTAAACCGCTCATACGACAATCAAACGTTCACTAACTGTAACATATTATAACAGTTTATTTGCAGGACGAAATGCGTACAATATTTCTTTTCGATGTTTTGTGGCGACTTCCTCATACAATGAACCAAAAACATACTTGAGTGGCACCTAACGAAGACCCTGAACTAAGCAGTTTAGTGAAAAGTGCTCATGCTGATAAGCATATATAACTTCCCAAAATAAATCGTTTGGCCGTAGTCCGCTAGGCATGATCATCTCGCCTGGTCGGAGGATCCTTTCTTTGCGTTGGAGGGACATGACGACCATTCCTCAACAGTTTTGTCGAGTAGATCGCAATTAATTCGTAACGAAAATATATAAGTAAAATGATTTACATAGGTACGGAAAAATATAAACGCTATCTAGGTCAGACTGTAAAAACTACTTCTTTGTAAGATTTTTATCGCGCATTGAACTTTCCTATACATAAGCATATGGAGAATATTCAAGGAAATGGAGTGTTGTGTCCATTTTCTCCAAACACTCTTCCCCGTTTTATTTCTTACCAATAACTATTTCTTAGGTACGTAATACTTACAGATATGAAGTTAGCGTAAGATAGTACCATCATTCCGAAAGCAGTCATATGAACGGGCACCTGGCTTCGCTGCAGAGCCACCACAGCCAATACCCTGAAGTCGGAGCGAGCACGAATAAGCTCCCAACCGCAACTGTATAAAGACGTCTGCACCATTTCTGCCTGTAAATGAACCAGTAATTTATGCTATAGCTATTTAGACATCATAGGGTTTCATTTGGTATCCCTATCTTGGGCAGCAGGTTCAGCTGTGCCGAGACTGCACTGATGGCGTAGGTGTTTAAGCGGTCATCTCACCGCTTCTCACTGTACACTCCACATAAGGAGTCAGTCAGATCAGGGATCTCGGATGAATGTAGGTAATAAAACGGCGATTATGGATATTACTCAACGAATTACCGGTATCGTATCTTTGTTAGCAATAAAATCCTCTAGCAACGAAACGAAGTTAGCGAATTTTGAGCGACAAATGGAGGGTATCGCAACTCAACAAACGAGTTTAACGTACGCGGACAAACTTAAGCTTCGATTACCACCTAAATCTGCTCCGTGCCCGGTACCTACTGAAGCGCGCGTTCCTAGGCCTTGTGTTATTGCCTATCCCACTACGGAACGCTTAGCGGACTATGCGACCTCGTCAGCAACAAAACAAGCTCTCATGAAGGCTATTAAACCGAGCGATGAGGGATTTCAAATTGTAGGCGTTAAAAAAACCTCTAAGACAGGCATCGTGTTACGTGTAGCTAACGAACGGCAGCTTAAGAAACTGGAATCTGTGGACGCCATTAAATCAGTAGGGTTGCGCTTAGAAAAACCGAAAGGCCGTAGGCCCCGTATAATTGTAAAAGACGTACCCGGTTCTATGGAAGATCGTGCCTTCCTAACAGCCTTATACCGTCAGAATATCAAGGACGAATTAAAATTAAGTGAGAACGATTTTATTAAGTCAACCAAAATTGTTAGGCATCGTAAACTAGAAAATGGGCGTCAATGGATAGGCTTAGAGTTAGAGGCAGCAGTTCGGAAACATCTAGCCAACACAAAAGATAAACTTTATATAGACTGGGCCACATGTAGATTCATAGACGATATAGAAGTAGTTCGTTGCTTAAATTGTCAGCAATTCGGTCATGTACAAAAGTTTTGCACCATTAAAACCCCTACTTGTGCTAATTGCGCCGCCGCACACGAAACGCGAGCTTGTCCAGATAAAGACACACCAGATTTTAAGCCCACGTGCGCACAGTGTAAGCGGTTCAAAAAACCATCTAACCATCGATGCGGCTCATACGACTGTGCCACATACAAATTAAAACTGGAACAGCTAATATTAAATACCAATTACTGAATAGTTTAACTTAGTGTTAAAAAAAAAAAAAAAAAAAAAAAAAGTTTAAAGCGTAACTTACTAAGTAATGAATAATATTTCGATAGGCCAGTTAAATCTTCATAACGATAAAATAGCTACATCAGAATTAGACCGTTTAATTTTAGAACAAAAGTTAGACATTGTCCTTTTACAAGAACAATATCAGAGCGCTCACTTGCGTCGTAATGTAGTACAGCTTGACTGCCGTTCGCAGGCTGGGATATATGTTGCAAGTTCTAATTTTACGGTAACATCTTTGCGTAATCTTATGACGTCACACTGCGCCGTTGCTGAGATCTCATCCTCTACCTGTAAGGTTTACGTAGTGAGCTGCTATTTTCAATATTCACATCCTATTGATCCCCACTTACATCACTTACGTTACGTCTTGCAGTTCCTCGTGGGACATAAAATTATCATTGGCGCTGATGTCAATGCGTCATCTTCATTATGGTATGGCAAGTTGCGTTCAACCGACACGGTTCGACGTTGTGCGGTTGAAGATTTCATTGCGGAAATGAATCTTATTATTCACAATACCCCCGATGCACCACCAACTTTTTGCAACCCAATGGGTGAGTCTTCTATTGACGTGACGCTTACGCGCGGCGACGTCTCGATATCCGGATGGCGTGTCCTTCCGGACGCATCCTGTAGTGATCACCGCTTGATCGTGTACGAATTCATACCAAGGGTTGCACAGGATCCACAAAGGGCTCCCTATAATTTTAGATATAAAACTAAAGGTGCGAACTGGGCTTTGTTTGGTTCACTCTTTGCAACTCATACCAAAGACTTCAGTCGCAGTAGTTTATCAGCTGAGGAAAGCGCAGAAATACTATCAGAAACTTTTACATACTGCGCTGATGTAACTATTGGTCGCGGATCTATCACTAACACTCGTAGATGTGATTGGTGGAATGATAGATTAGCCGAACTACGTAGAAGCTACCGGAAAGCTCGTAGAAAATTAAACAATATTAAAAAACATAACGTAACAGGAGATTTGTACAACAATGCTCTCATTGCTCTTAGAGTTGCCAGGTCCCACTACAGAGCTGCTGTGGAAAAATCCAAGGGAAACTTAATTCAGAAACTTGTTGATAAACTCGATAGAGAGGGCCCGTGGTCACCTTTGTATCACGAATTTAAGGCAAATAGATCAATCGACCTTGCATACATACAGAACATCAAAATTAATAACAGATATACCACAGGAGTAGAACAAACAGCAGAATATCTTTTAGACTCACTCGTACCTGACGATCGACCGGAAAACGACACTGATCATCACCGACATCTCCAATGTCTGATTTACCATCTTCAGACGAATTTCTCGGTATCATTAGATCCTTGCCGCTAAACAAGGCTTCGGGCGATGATAAAATATCTAACAAAATGATAAAAGAAGCTTGTAAACTTTCGGGTGACACGATTTTCACTGTCTTTAAACGTTGCATTGCTGAAGGAATATTTCCTCGTATATGGCGGTGCGGTAATATTCGTATAATACCAAAAAGTGGCGACAAGCCACCGGATGATCCTAAATCCTACCGACCAATAACATTGTTACCATCGTTAGGAAAGCTTTTAGAACGTCTTGTAGTGCCCCGGCTTCTGCCAGGTGGAGTCAAATTTCATGATAGACAATTTGGATTTACGTTGGGTAAATCGACAACTGACGTTGTTATATCGGTTAGAAAGCTTGTTACAGGGTCAAAATTTCAATACGTGCTGGCTATTTTCTTAGATATATCTGGCGCCTTCGACAACGCATGGTGGCCCATGCTGTTGCTGAAATTAAAATCACGGGGGTGCTTTAAAAATATTTATTCCCTTATCTCTTCGTACTTTTCACAAGGTACAACTAAACTAAGACTTGGTCATCATTCTGTGTCGAAGGCGCTTACAATGGGATGTCCTCAGGGATCGGTGCTAGGTCCATACTTGTGGAATATCGGCTTCGACGATTTTCTTGCGATACCAATACCATCCGGATGTACTCTGAACGCGTATGCTGATGACGGCTTATTACTGGTGGAATCTGATACTAGGGCGGGGCTTGAGAGATTAGCCAATAGATGTTTGAACTTGATATCTCAATGGGGTGAACGTAATCGCTTAACTTTTGCACCCAACAAAACCTTCCAGCTACTTTTAAAAGGTAACCTCAAATCACCGCCGAGCATTAGATTTGACAATGTTACTGTAAAAAATAAAACCGCAGTGTGTTATCTAGGATTAGTTTTAGAAAGAAACTTTTCATTTATCGAACATATTAAAATAGTTAATGAAAAGTCTAAAAAGAGTTTCTGTGCATTGACAAGGATATCAACTGCGACATGGGGTCTATCATTTAATACATTAAAGATCATATACGGAGCTACTTATTTAGGTTCTATGTGCTATGGTGCACCTGTATGGGCCGATAGGGCGACCGTAGGCGCTGTCCGTCGCAAACTGTTACAAGGCCAACGACTTGCACTGATATTCTTGTGTAAGGCATATAGGACGGTTAGCACTGAGGCTTTGCCGGTGTTGGCGGGTGTGCTTCCGGTCGATCTCGAGGTGCAGAGACGTGCAGCCATGTACTATTCAAGACAACAAAACATGGAATGCGATTTTTTGGGCGCGCGGGATCGCGGTAAAATTACAAGATTGCTTCAACAGCAGCCCGATGTCTATAATGACCTCATAGACGAATGGCAACAACGCTGGGATGAATCATCCAAGGGGCGCCATCTTTACCAATCCTTTCCATCTGTTCGCGAACGGTTGTCGAGGATATGGCTTGAGGTGGATCACTGTGTCTCTCAATTTCTTACGGGTCATGGTAACTTTAAGAGCAAGCTTTATTCATTTAAATTAGTCGAGTCACCATTGTGTCAATGCTCAACACCTAACTCTCACTATGAACAGTCTGCTCATCATATCCTCTGGGAATGTAGTCTTTGGTATAATGAACGTAATATAATGCTGAATAGCTTGCAGGTGACATCTGGGGCGGTATACTATGGGGATCTTGTGTCAACTAGGGTCAATTTCCGTGCGTTTAGGCGATTCTGCCATACATATTATAGAAATCAAACATAGCTCACGTAGGACCCGTAATATTTGTGGCCGTGGTGCTCCCCTGTTTAAAAGGGTGTATGCCCATTTTACTTCATTTTGTCTCCCGCTTTGCTAAGGAGGGAAGTGGATTTACTGTATTTCCAACTCCTCCAATTTTCTTCTGATTAATTTCGTTGCGGGTTCCAAGACAGTTTAATTTCTTCCTGGGACTTCCCGAGTGTCATAACTCGGTGTGTTCGTGGGTCACTGCTGTGGATCCTGGTGTACAGGAGTTACAGTGGTGGGCGTGTGGGTGGGATTAGTCCCATAAAAAAAAAAAGACAACACTTTGTAAGATGCACAAATTGTTTCATGAATGTTTGTAAGGTCCTCTGTGACACGAGATATGTTTCTAGTCCTAGTACCTAACGAATGGCTGCACGAATGGCGTAGTGGTTTAAGCGGTCGCCACGCCGCTTCCTACTGCGCCGAGTGTTGTGGGTTCAAACCCCACATGGGACGACACTTTGTGTGATCCACAAATTGTTGTTCTGAGTCTGGGTGTTCTTTGTGTTCGTTTCATGTATATTTGTAAAGTCCCCCGCGACACAGGATATATTCCTAATGCGGGAGTTGTCTTTTTATAAAACAAAAAAATCTCGTTACTTTAGAAGAAGTGAGTAAGATTATCGGAGACAAAACCTTCTTCTTAATATTAGATGCAGCAAGCACTCAAATGGCGACTACATACTTGTCTCCCTTGGGTTACAGGGTATATAGGTAACGGTAGTTACTTACCATCAGATAATACGTCTGCCCGTTTGTCCTCTATTCCATGAAAAAAAGGAAAACATACCTCAGGGCAATGCAAAAAAAATTTTGCCATTGACGCTCTGTTTAATACTCAAAAAGAACTTTACACTTTTAGATAATTCCGTACCTCATGTGTTATATCACCACCAGCCATCATATATGATCCAGTGATTACCAAAAGACATGCTACATAGGCCAAGGTAGCTAACAGGTAGAATAGATTGCGTTCAGCATCCTGAAAATGTAGAACTATGGTAGACTTGTGTAATTAAATGCGCTTGAAGACATCGTGACAAGAAAACCATCGTGAGAGATCCATCCTTCGGCACATATGGGACAGCTCGACGATACAATGGCCTCACAGAAAAAGAGTAAAGTAAAGAAGTATCTTGTTAAACAACTGGTAGAATCAAGTAACACATGATGGCGGTTACTTACAAGCAGCTGACTCCTCGTTTGTCACCTATATAAAAAACAAATTAATGACGCAACAGGCGGCCTGCAGCGGAGAAACGTCTAAAACTTTGACTCACTAAAAAATCTTAGTGTGCGAGTCGAAGCAAAATGATAACTCAAAGTGTATTGAAGCATGAAGGTTAACTTACAACCAATTTGACAAGACACATGACTAGAAGTGCTACACTTTCCAATACCTGGATGCTGTATATAGTTCCCATAGAATCTTGCACATTACGTGCACACCTGGAAAACCAAAAAGTATAAATAATAAATAAAAAAGTAACATGGCCCCTACAGTCATTAAATTAAAAAATACAGTGTTTATTAATCGAATAGTATATTATACTATGTAAGTATTCGAAAATGATTGCATTCCCCTTGCAGAGTTAGCTTTTAATGGTGACATTTTTTGAAAAATACTAGTACTACTAGTTTAAACTCTCTCATGTTGAATAAAGGGTGTTTCTCATTTTTCGTGCAAATTAGGCGTCCATTGCAAAAATCTTAATTTTTCCAATAAATATCTATGATTCTTTTAAATCAAATCATATGTTATAAAATTGTGCTTATATGCATGTAACATTTACTGTTCCACATAGCTTATTTAATGTGTTATACGTAAAAAACTTTGCTAAATCTCATTTACTTCGGTGTCCACTTGCTATTCTCCCTATTAAATTTGTATTTAAACCTAAAATATAAATATCAAACCTTAACAAAGTAATAATTTTAAGAAACTGTATTAACAAGAGCAACGTTTGAACGTAAAATAATCAATATTAACTCAACAATACAATGGAATTTTATTTTATTTATGTTTAGCACATTTTTTTTCTGATAACCATCGGTTCGTAAGAAAGTGTAAATTGCAGTCTGGGTTTGCCCTTAAATGCTTCTTTGCTGTTACTATACCCCGCGCACATCTCTCATTTGGCTGGCAAACATCGTAGCAGGTGCATGCTTGTTCGTGGAAAAAATATATTTTCGTTTAGAGTTTTGCGGGAGGTGATTATTCTGAAATCGTACTCTTTCCTATCGTCCACACTATTAAGTGAGTATTTATGATTTTATTCAGTGCGCAGCTAATTTACAATTTTAATAGATACCTTTGTCGTTTAAAATATGCATTAGGTCCGTTACTTTGATATTTTTTGGGAAACTATGGATAAAGTATTCAAACCTCATTACATTCTTTCTCAGTGCCTTCGTTTACCGTCGTTTTTTTGAGCGATGGTGATGAGATTAATACGATGGCAATTAGAATGTATTTTATGTTAGTTCATTTTTATTTGCTATTTTCTTTTTGCAAAATTATGTTTGCCAACTGTGACGATAACTGGCTAAGCAAAAAAATACAATTATTATCATTTAAAAAAATAAAGCATAATAAAAATAAATAAAGCAAATAAAAAATTACTTCTATAGATCGCTAAGGATGCCAAAGAAAACCAAACAAACATTGGAGCAGAAACGAGAGCGAGATCGACTACAAAAAAAAGTAAATATGCAGAAATAAAGTAAGGCCCCGAAAAGTATGCAAAAGAGAAAGCAAAAGAACGAGTAAGGTATCTTAAAAGAAAAGAACAGAAAATATAAAAAGCGCAGCAGATATGACACCAAGACAATTAAGAGTCCAAAGAAAAACATAGAGAGTTAATTCGAAACGTCACTACGAAAGGAAAAAGAAAGAAAAAGTTATACAACAGCTATTACTAGAGAATTCTCCAATAAATAGTGACATTGAAGTAATCTCAGCGAAACAAGATCCTCTCTCTAGACCAACTTTAAGCCCATTTCCAAGTTCTTCCTTAAATTCTTTGGGTTCCGGTAACCATAACTCTTGTCAACAGTGCCTAAAAAAGAATGTGCTTCTAAGAAAGCTTCGCTACCGACATAAAAAAGAAATCGGCATTTTGAAACAAGACATAGAAAAAATGAAAAAAACAGAAAGACGCCATTAGAAAAATGTTTTATAAAGCAATGAAAAATTAGAAGAAAAATGCAAATATAACGACTGAAGAAAAAATAGAATATTTGGTACAAAATGAAGGCATTGAAAAACGCGAAGAAATTAAAAAGAAACTAATGTTTAGCTCCTTAGAAGTAGTGTTCAAAAAGGGTATACGTGTTTGAAAAAAAAAAGATAAAAAAGAGTTTTCTTATGTGGTAATGACGGAAAAATAAAAAAAATAAAGATATAAGCTCTTGACGCAAACACATAAGAGTGAGAACTTAACAGAGCAATGAATTTTGGAGTTTTTCGATGATGACGCAGTAACTAGAATTGCAGCTGATAAAAGAGAATACATTACTAGAAACAAAATAAGAAAGCAGAAAAGATACTTAACAGACACATTGACTAATTTTTACAAGAAGTTTATGCATAATTCAAATGTCAAGGTAACGCATCAAACCTTTTGTAAATATCGTCCATTTTGGGTTTTATATCCACAGGAATCAAGCAGATATATGTGTGCTTGCAAAGTTCACGTTAATGTTGATTTGTTGACAAAACGAAATATTATATTTCAAAATTTAAAAACTCTCTCGTTGGCTATATGAAACACTGCACTAATATTTTAACTCAGTATAGAAATATTAAAGAGCTTAAAAATAATCTTAATCCATAAGAAGCAGTGATTCATGTTGATTTTAGTGAGAAATACTGCGTAAAATATTACGAGGAAATGCAGAGTTTTCATTATGGTGGAAGTAGGATGCAGTTATCATTGCACACATGTGTTATCTATTTGATAGATCCAGAAGTTGGAATTCAAAAACAATATGGCTTTTGCACAGTAAGTGAATGTACCCAACACGATGCAGCAGCTGTTTGGGCACATTTGATACCGACTATTGCGTATGTGATGGAGCTTTCAAGCCAGATTGACACAGTACATTTTGTCTCCGACAGTGGACTGTCGGAAACAAAATGTACTGTGTCAAGTCAATATCGAAATCGTTTTATTTTTTATATGTTCAGCCAGCAAAATCTGTGACCTGGAACTTAGGCTGGCTAGAATTGACGTCATCATGAAAAGGAATACTTTTCATGATGATGTCAATTCTAGCCAGTTTCAGAGTTTTATTGATGAGAATACAACACCAGAACTCATAAAAGAAATAAGCAACCCAGATTTTTCAATTACTCGTTCTGAACCATCAATCAGATTCGAAGATAAATTGCCAAATAGACCGTACTCACCAAAGGTTAAAATACTGTCGGATATAAATTTGACTGATTGGGCAAAAAAAATTTACATTAATAAGGAAAAACTTGCTAAAAAAACAAATTAGTAATAATTATCAAACAGACTGAAAAGTTTATTATGGGTAAGAGTAGTAATGAAAATTACACAAAAGAAAATAAAGACGAAATATATGAAAAGCAGAAGAAATTACGAGTAATTGACTTTTGGAATTATGACACCGACAAAGAAGATACAAATCTGTGAAATGATTTTAAGATTTGTAAAGAGAGACTTTTCTTGATCTCGGATTACCAAAAATTAGTAATTAATATATTTAGATAAATTAGATTTTGATTGTATTAATAAAAAAATTTTTTTAAGGAAGGCATGGAGAAATGGCCCATATTATGTTATGATCATTATTTCTATAGCAATTAGATTCTTGAAACATAAATATTAAAAATGCATCTTTGTATAACAACATTTTGTGTCATTCCAGTCATTTTGTGTTATTTCCCACAGCTAACGACTCAAAATCATTCCCCTCCCCAACATTCTCATTACTATCTCATTCCAATTTTTGATATGCTAATAATTTCATTGTTTTTCACAAAAATAAGGTAGAAACAATAAAAGGTTGAAGAATTAAGTATATAGTAATGAAATAAGAAAAGAAAAATAAGTTTTTTGACAATAATTTGAAATTTAGAATTTTCACCGAATTTGGACGAAATAGGCGAAACACCCTAAACTCAGGGCGGATCCTTGTCGAACTCCGCCGTCTCCTTCTGCGAGCAAGTTATGCTTGCGAAGGAGATGGCGGAGCAGGACCGGGAGAGGTTTACAACTGAGGTTTAGGCAATACCTCATGATGATAAGCACGAATGCTATCTCGCGTTACTTCAAATCAAAGTAAAACAACACAAAACTGTCCTCCAGATTAATTAAATCTCCTCTCTTCATAACAGCTACTTACCACAACGCATCTTCATGCATCTTGATCACAGTCACGAAATCATTTTTAAAACTCTTCTCCAAATCCATTCGTGACTTATTCTCCACGTTCTTTAATACCTTAGTCCTCATTTCTTGGCAGTACAGTTTCAAAGCTTTAAACTTGAACCTGACTATGACGAGGGAACAGATCACAAAGCCGTCAATGGATAGCATCATGGCCATCATATGGTACCAATGAATTTCTATTAATGAACGAAGTATGTTCACAAAAATACCTGTATCGGCTGGAGTGGGATAAAGAACCACTTCTGTTCGGATAGGTATTGCTAAAAAATAAAATATAGAGTTGTATAAAGACGATGAGAACGTGATGAGAAGTTTCAATAGAAATGACTAGCCAGGCTTGACTGGCCTGTATGCATAGTGGATAGGGATCCTGACTGCTAATCCAGAGGTCGTGGGTTCGATTTACACCCAGGACAAATAGTAGTGTAATGAGAACGATCATTAGTTCAGGGTCTGCTTTTAATTTATCTTTGAAATTTATATATTTTGAAATATATACAAGTATGTTCATGAGTAGTCTGGTTACCATAATACAGGCTTTGCCAAGACTAAACTTTTTTGGATAAAAGTCGAAGCAAAGAACATTCTTTCTGTAATTTGAGAAAACGGGTGTGCAAAAACTTTACATTGATTAGTTAAACAGTTGATGTGTAAAAGCTGGTAACTCATATTTGAATTCATAATATTAATTCAACTTAAGATTTGATTTACGTCTTTTTGCAATGTGGATTCAAATAAAAAATCATAATCTTTTTAACTAGAATATCAGATATCCAGGATCGTGTGCATTCATTGCGTGCGTGTAAGCTCGTGCGTTCGTTCTTTGACTTACCGTCTTTAATATGAGCTCTGACACCATCAATAAAAGTGGAAACCAACGTAATATACACAGATATTATCAACATCAAAAAATATCTGGTAGACTGCTTCACAGATGCTCGTTCTAACTCAATGGAGTGGAAGGTGGATCTTGTCCCTTCCAGAAGACGCTTCATCACGACAGCGAATTTATCTTTCTTATAGTACAAGGTTACGATCTTGAGAGAAACTAGAGGATGAGCAATACTGAATTGAAATAGATCAGTTTTTTCTTTTTCATTGAGATCAGATCGGCAATGGGCAAGAATTTCGTTGAGTAGGACTATGAAGACATACATGTTGGAGACTAATTGCCACACTCTGTATGCTTTGCTCTTTGGTACCTCATAGGTTTCATACCAACAATCACCCATTCCGATATAGTACATGAATTTACATATTGATTTAAAGTAATGTTTTTGAGGGTTAGTGTCTTTCAGTGATGGTGCGTCCATGTCGAAAGATTGTCTAAATAATTATGAAAAATATCTGTAGAACTTTTAAATTAAATTGTAATCGCTCAGTGGGCTTTTTAACTTTCCCAATTAGAATAATTGGTTAATTCGATGAATAGTCAAGTTTTGTGAAGTTTAGAAATAATTTATAGGTTTGTAGAGGAATATAGATTATAGTTAAGTTCGATTAATGATTATTCTACTCTGCCCTTATTTGTTTACTGAAATAATATACCCATCAAAAAGCGCAGTACCACTAAGAGAAATAACACACCACACAGACTACGATCCTATAATCTAAGCTTATGAGGTATGCTCTGAGGTACTGTTGTATACATACCGGCCGCAGTTTCTTGCCATAGTTTAAGGCACCGTTCATACCCATCGCTACTCCATCACCATACGCTTTTCAAGAAACTTTTTGGCTTGCACAACCAAACTATTGCATAAATTTTCGCTAGCGTCTGTAGTCTAGTACTATTTCACTATTTATAATAAATAAATATCTAAATCACTTTTTATCTAATTCCTGTATTTTTTTTCTGTAAATTCTTAATTCCAATCGTAAACAATTATTGGCACTTCGCCGTCGAAAAAATATGTATATATAGATATATATTTCATCGATAAGTTAAAAAAAATAGTTCCCCTTACAAACTTGCACCCATTTTAAGAGTATTTAAAAAAAATAACATAGTTTTTTATTACTTTTAATAAAGAGTATTTACTGTGAGTTTGAAAACGATACTACCAAAAATAAAAAAGTTTCATATAAGTAAACTGCCAACCACTTTTTTGCATCCTTAGGAATTTTTAGAAATCCTTTCTTGCACACGTCACTTAAGGAACATTTTTGCGAAATTTCATGCTTCTAGACCTAGCTGTTTCATCTGTGCTTTGATCGATCAGTGAATCAATCTGTCAGTTTCTTCTTTTATAGATAGGAACAGATAAGTCGATGGCCTGTTTTTTCTTTAACAAACTTTTAATATCAAATAATTAAGGGAGTATACAAAAATCACTGACTGGATAAAGTACGATAAATATTTGATAAAGTTTGAAAATTATAATTGAAGTTGAATTAATTCCTCCACTATAAGTAACAAAAACTTGTGTTTAATTTGAACTGGCCAATCAGATTTCAAATGTCTTTATGTTATAAAGAAGGAATGGTAACTTATTCTTTTGTTGAATAATGGTATAGCCATTCGTTTACCTCACCTCGTGGAAAGTAAATAATGTTAGACGGTGATGGTACACGCATTAATGCAACCTGGTCAATGCGTCAATTTACTAACTAAAAACTAAAGCGTTAATTCCCTGTACAAGCAGGTTATTGTACGCAAGTTTTATCTTTTGCAATTTTCATTACCGTCACTAGATGGCGCTGTTCAATTAGTGTACACGTCTAAACGCGGTATTAAGATTTTCGGAATGTCTAGTACAACCCTGCTATTGTGTTACGTGAAATATACTCGGATAACACCGTAAATATAATTTGGTTGTCTTATTACTAGTAAACCCTTACTCTATTTCCGCTTGAATCCCTGAACAAAGGATTTGTTTGGTCCTAAATAATTAAATATATTTTTTTTAAAAGTGGTTAAATATAGTAGTCACATTGTGGCTACTGCCACATACAGTGAATCAACACATTCTTCAGTGAAGGCATTCTTCAGTCTAACAAAGGCACACCGAACTACGGAATAACTGGTAACCCTGCATCGCGATATGAAAAGTTATCAGCCGATTAGCATTAATGCAAACTTTCCAACATCAGCGCAGGGGTCGGGCTCCACCCGGCATGCCTGCCTGCCTGGTCATGCCTGGTCAGGCATGCCTGATCGAAGGATCCTCCCTTTGTGTTGGAGGGACATGACAGCAGTTCCTCCACTACACTTATATCAAAAAACATTAAAAAAGGGATTTTTACCACAACATGGATTTATTGTACTTCAGAATCCTGCAATAGTTAACTATTTTCACTTTTCATACAAAATCCTTGTAACAGATTGTATTATCTTTAATATCAAGTACCACTATTCCATATTTCATCGTCCGTCTCCGGATTCAATGTAAATTGAAGTGTCTTAGAATTTAAATGTCCCTGAATTTTAATACTACTACACCGCTCAGGTGCGGAAGAAGAAAATACATTTCGCTTTGCAAAATATAAACTTCTTGAGTGAAAAATTTTAGGTCAGACACCTCAATCACAAAGCATTTTCGTTTCCTCTTTTTCCTCCCTTTGGTTCTTCTTGCCCATAATTTTGGTCCCGGAAGGACGACTGATCTCAAGTTATCATAGGATCTGAACAAGCAATTTATTCTGATGGTACTTAAATCATTTTGATTCAATGATGAGTTTTGCCTCTTCTCCATATTTGCTAATGTTCGTCGCCAGCTTTGCTTGGTATAACCACGCCTTGAGTTCGATCAGAGTCGACCGGTGTTTCGTGTCAGCGCTTCAACAGCTGTTGATGGGATATATTACGGGATAGTATACTCATCATCATCATCAACAGCCTATACTAGTCCACTGCTGGACATAGGCCTCTCCTTAGAAAGGAGATTTAGTATACTCGTATAACAAAAATTCGGCGGCGACGACTGGGACGCACGGGTAGTTCAAGTTTAGCATCTAAACAGCAGTACGAATATACGATGAACCTGAATATCTAAAGCTTAACCCTACGAGTCACCTACTTTTCCCAAATCAAAATAGTCACGTAAAATAGTTCAAAATAGTCCACTGTTTCGAATGTGTAGACAATATAATGATATTTGTTCTGATGTTGATATATTTGTTGGTAGTCACGGCAGATTTATGGAATCTTTGCGGCAATTGGATGCACCTTGACATTGACTGCATGCTTAAATTATTTATATATATTTTTTTATTTCTTTGTATTATGCTTGTTTATTTTTGTAACCTCCACTTACTCTGAAGCTGTATAAATCCCGAAAGCTGTGTGCGGTAGTAATTGGAGTGCAGATTAAAAAATGTTATTAATATTTATAAGTAAGTTTAAGCACTACCTGGTCTGTATTCTGTAACTGTACCTTTTGTAAATAAATAAATAAATCTGAGTAGTCGTATAATAACATAATTTCAAGAAAAGTGAGTCTTAAGATTAATAAACTTAACCCAGTAACCATTGTAAAGTAACTGAGTAAACCTTCTACAACCATCTCAAAAATCAGCTTTGCCTAATTTTTTTATTGTCCATTCTCTGGAATAATGTCTGGCGGGATATTGAATAGGGAGTAAGTATCCCGACAAATAGCGGATATTCTTATCAGCCAGGTTTCTTGCCTTATGCGGGGCCTAAGGAAGACCTAGTACAATTTCTACATTATCTATTTTCAGGGAGCAACGCATGGCAATCGACAGTGTTTAAGTCCAACGCTTATACGTTTTATCTCCAGTTCGTTGCAAAGCAAATAATTTTCACATCGGACAATAAACAATTGTGGTTAATAGAATATATTAAGTGTTACAGATTCCATGTACAATATTTGGCTCTATTTTGGCAATATCCCAACGGCTTATGTTAGAGCTTGTGGAACAACCTATTTCAGGAAAAATAAATATACAGGGAGCCAATTTCTGTAAAATGGAGGTACATTGTCAGCTACAACACTAAGTTCAGGTTTAATGTGGCTCTAAATTCATGTAAGTTTCTAAGCAAATTTCAAATAGGTACTAAATTTATAATCATTTCAAAATAGTATTTAAAAGTGCAAAGTTTATTATTACGCAACATAGATTTCAATATACGAGCATATTGCATTATAATACAGAAACTTTACAGTTTTATTTATAATTTTCTATCTTACATTTAACTCTTACCGTGATTGCTACCTAGAACATATATAATATAGATGTGAAATAGATAATAATATATTCTATCATATTCACACAACGCCATCTAGTCCCAAACTAAGCAGAGCTTGTACTATGGGTACTAGACAACTGATATAAATACATATATACTTTTTTTTTTGTAAATACATACTTATTATACATAGAAACATCCAGACCAAATCAAACATTAAATGTTCATGCACACAAATGTTTGACTTGAGCGGGAATCGAACCCGCGACCTTTGGAATAGCAGTCCGTTGCACAAACCACTATGCCATGCGGTCGTCTAATATGTATGTGTTTGTTCTGTGCCTGGGTGTAATTTTTCATATTAATATGCACATACGTACTTAGTAATATATTAGTATTTTCAACAGTAGTATGACTACCATAGTACAGGTGTGCCTAGTTTGGGTTTAACGGGCCTCATGTGTAGTTTTAATAATAATTATTATTATTAGTCATTTGATCTTTATATATATAATTCTTCTGTGAGTGTGTATGTCACTGAACTTCTCTCAAACGACTGGACCGATTTTTATGAAATTGTTTGTGTGTGTTCAAGGGGATCTGGGAATGGTTTCGATTCACAATTTTGAATGGTAAGGGTGACCCATCCCTAATTTTTTTTTTGTTGCAATACAACGTTTGCCGGATCAGCTAGTATACCTATAAAAATTACTGTTTTTATTCGTATCTTGTGATCTACCATAATGCTCATTAGTCTAACAGGTAAACTGTCTTTTGTGCAAGCAGAGCTAGCAACTAGATGTATATAGAAAGATGTCATGTTAAGGAAGTAAAAACAATTCAGAAAAAGTTTAAAAGAATAAAAGAACAGTCAAAAAAATAACAAGTACCCGTAAACCCACAAGACAGTTGTCATCTATACAAACAAATAAAATTGGAGAGAATGTTTGTAATATTAAAATAACCGCTTTTTACTAAATGTATATGTATGTTTACACGGTACATATGCCAAAATAACATTTTTTACAATTTTTGTCTGTCTGCCTGTGTGTTCCGGGTAATCTCTGGAACGGCTGGACC